TTAAAAAACATTTTAAATCTGTTAAACAAATCTCAGAACAAAGTTTTTGAGATTTGCCTAGATTCAACATAGGAAGATAGTTTGAAATTTCAAAATGTTTATGTGGCAGGAAAAATGTTTCCTACTCAGATTTATTTGCATAACTATGAGCAACGAATCAGCTCCCATCTGTTAAGCTGGAGTAAATCTGTCATAAGTGACATCAAGATCAGGCCTACTACATTACATTTTATTTGCTTCAATCCTCACAAGCGAGTAGATGGAAAAAAGAAATCCTTTTTTTGATTGTGATACCGGTAAGAACGTCTTGCACTTCTCTGATCCATTCCTTGCCATTACTGTGATAGACTTTATATACTCTGTGTCACACTACGTAGATGTATGCAAAAGTGTAAATTTATGGCTGCATTTATAGTATTAGGCAAGTATTTATTGGTTTTAAACACCGTTAGTCTGGAAATCGACCAGAACTTTGACCTTTTTATGATGTGATTTACTGCCGTGAGCCTTCGAATTCCATGGACTCCATTTAAGTAAGTTTCAGGTCTTGGCAGGACAAAATCCTGAACTAGAGCTGTCTTTAAACCGGCGGAGTATTGCTAAATTGGGCAAGTAGCTGCACTATAGTGGCTGGATGATCATTTAAAGGTGTAAGGGAAGCCCTGCTCTTTAGCTGAGATTTGATATGGTTGGCATTAATGTCTGCCTGACTTGCTTTGTGTCTGTAACACAAGATAAATTTGTGCTGTAGCATTTTTGTCTTGAGGTATATTGCAGTGTGCACCGCAAAGGCTCTACAGGATTGCAGAAGCATGAAACAAAGGGCTATAGCTGTGCTTCGCTGTAACGGGTTATTGAGCCAATTTTGCCTAAGAGGGGAACAGCCCTTTAAATTACTGCAAAGAGTATCAACATTTGGATTCATTATGTATTTAGATATCTCGTGCAGATTAGGCATTTCCCTCCTGTATGATTTGGACTGGTGTCTGAGGAGCTGATGCAGCCCTGTTTGGACTGACGGCTACATAGCCACACATACACAGTGTGAGCATTTATTTCCTGCTGGCTGCTGCTAATGGAGTACAAGTAAAAGCAGGAGGTGCCTATCATTGCCGGACACATTTTAATAAAGGGGCATCCTTCAAGACTGGCCTTCCTCCTTCTCCTCCTACCTTATGTGAGAAAAGTCTCTTTCTTCACAGTTTGTACAAATAAGGGCTAAAGGGTCAGCTCCCTAATTTGTCACAACGTAAACAAGAGATTCCAAAGGTATTTGCCTTCGCTTTGCAAATTAGGAAGGCCGCTGCCTTGCCACACTCAAGGTAAAGCAAAGTTTGAAGAAAGATGCGATTTCCTCGGACCAGCACTCGGTCGGTATCGCAGTGAGTTTCTGGTTTCTGTAGGCTCAGGTATGACAAGGACGTAAAAGACATGGACAGCACCGTCCCAGGAAGAGTGCCTCCAGGCATCTCTGCATGAGCGTGAGGGGAGGAAGAATCAGTCGTGATAATAATAATTTGAGAGGATGACCCATACGGGCTTCCCAGGGAGGTGGGAGGACTGGGCTGATTGGGGAGTGGAGCGAGGGCGCGGGGCTGTGACTGGACCTACTTTTTGCTCCAGTCTGCCATCCCTCTGGCGAGGTGCTTCCAAGGGGAAGGAGCTGCTGGCAGCAGTCCCTGAGTACGTGTGCGGTGATTGCAGGCCTTTCCTCTGCGGGCCACACAAGCAGGCAGAGGAGCTGCCTTCCTGCTTTCCCCCTGCACGGCCACATCAGGCAGCAGCGTAGTTGGTCCGTAGTGAGTAGCTCAGCTCTACACGTCTGTTTTTAAAAGAACATGAAAGAACGATTAAAGGAAAAATGTTGTAAGACTTATTATGCTAGTGGTAGGAAGAAACGCGGTGTGCAGAAAGGAAAGCTCAGCAGTGTCTGATGTGGCTATTTCTTCCTTTCCGGCCATATGGTCCTTGCTTTGACAGCAAAGTTAGCTGGCATTTCCTCCGTCATGAAAAGGTCTGGTCATGCTCCAGTTGCTACTGACTTTGGTGGAAGCAGAGGTGGACAGTCTCTCTTGTCGAGTCTCCACATGGATGTAGGATCAGGCTCAGGGCTCCAAGTGTGAATGTGAGTTTTGAGAACCAACTTACTGGTCTCTTTGGGTGGTGCTGCAACAGTGACTCATGCTTGAGACGTTTGTGCAGCTCCTTCCTCTTCATGAGAAAAACCACACGGTGGAAAGAGCAACTTGTGAGGGTCCTGTCATGGTGCTTCTCTCGCTGCATTCCCCCTCCGCTAGACTTCCAGCAGGCTGGATAGGTGGGAGGCTCAAATCCCCAAATCTGCAGGAATTCAGAGGTGCGTGCCAGTTTGGGGGAGCTGCCAAAGTTGCCTTTGTGGAAGCCGTGTGCCTCTAGGCTTCCCTTAGACTCCAGGGGCTTCATCTTTACCTGTGCAAGAAACAATGATTTCACAGCCAGGGAAGTGTTCTTTGTGTGGCGGTCACGCTATCAGGTACTAACTTTGTTATGCTACGTGATTTATGTGAGTCCTGCACCCTGAGATCGCTGGTGCCTTGCCTGTTTTAGGGCCTGGCCAACGCAGCCACCCTGCCTAACGGGGAGCTGAAGGAGAGGAAGGACTGCAGTTGTATTCTTTCACAAGATGAGAACATGCTAAATACCATCTTGGAGATTTACTTCCTCTCTTGAACTCACAAGCCGGGACCTCACTTTCATGATCACAGTTGTTGCTGGCCCATCTCTGTTGATTAATGTTTCCAAGCTGCCCAAATGATTTACCAGGCTCAGTCACCTTGGAAAAGTCAATAAAAAGGGAGAACTTCTTTATCTTCTACCTCTGACAGAACCACAGCTCATGTAAATCACTGTTGCGCTTTTGAAATCTGTACAAGTCAGCCGAGAGTCTAACCCGTAACAGTGGTAATGGGAAGAGAGAGTGCTGAGAGGAAGGAGAGTACTGTAGAGGCATATTAAGAGGCATAGCTGTGAGTAGAGGAGTTTAAAAAGTGAACAGTAATTCAAAATATCAAGCTTCTGCCTTAGATGGAGAAAAATATATCATGTGGCGTTGGGGCTGCTTGGCTAAGTCGGTACCTGACTACGTGCCAAGGGCTGCTGCAGCCTGATCGTAGTCACTGCTGTTAGGAGCTGGGCGAGCTCCCGGTAGGGGGACGGGACGTGATCCCTGCTTTCATCGTGTGTTAGTGAGATGTGTTCATTTTCTTCTGCTGCAGTCAATGTTACCCTTTTGCGGCCGTCTTCTGTGCAGTGGGGTTTGGTGCAATTCATTGCTACGCAGCGCTTCCGTAGCCATACAAAGAAGAGCTGTGAATGATCACATTTTGTATCCAGTCAACCTGTCATGTACACTGACGTAAATGGTGATGTATATTGGGCAGACAATGGAGAATTGATACTTTTTGCATCTCATTTGCACACATCATTTTACTGACCTTGACTGTAGGGTACAATGTTCAGCGGTCATCATACAGAGATAGGAGAATATTGTTCAGTTACACTCTATCGTTGTTGTCATCATACAGTTTCTACAGAAGTTAGGAAAAAAAGGGACATAACCTCTCCCGCCAGTAGCAGTTCTGATTTATGTAGCAACTTTTCTTCAGAGGAAATGTATGCATATTTTTGACAGTGAAATGACCATTTCCAAGTAAAACTGCTTTTTGATTCTGTTTTTTTCCTTTGTGAATGTGAGTCTGCCTTTTCTGAGTCAAGCTTTTTTCTTATTCTCTCTGACTTAGTTTCCTGTTGGTGAACGTGTCTTACGATACTTTTAATGAGCTACGCTTAGAAAAAAGTCCATTTACGGCATTTCTTTCACACTATTTCAGACTGTGTGGTGTGAATGAGCACTTGTTGATGTATAATTCTTCTCCTAACTGAAATACTGGTAGCTTACAATTTGGTAGACACGCTGGCCTCTGACTCGGAGGTGTTCATATAATGCGCTGCCTGAAATATTAGCAGGCTGAGTCTGCAATGTCAGGCAGAAAATGCCTGAACCAAAGTGACTTAAGAATAGGCTGTGAGTCAGGGCGGGCAGCTCCAATTTTCCGTTAATAGATACAATTACAAGAAATATAGAATGTATTTCTTTTTTGAGTAGGGGTTGTGTGCTGGGGGTGGGGTGGGGGGAATGGGAGGGAACCATCAATTTGTGTGCCTGCAAGCTAAATAGAAATATATATAAATGATTAGTTTAATTTGCTGATGCATTCATTAGCGAACCCCCCCCTAAGCAGCTGGGAAACCAAGAGGAGCTGTGCACAGAGAACAAGAGGGAGCTCATAAAGGCAAGTGAGACTGAACGGCAGCCAAAGGAGACGAGTAATCCGCGGGCAGAGCGGAGGCACTGGGCAAGAACCAAGCTGACATGCTTCGTGCACTTTTTTTCTTCTCTCGGAGGCCCATCAAGCAACTCCCCTTTTGTGCTAATCTGAGCAAGCAAAAAAGTTTGCTTAATTAAAAGCCTGTCTTTTCTTCCTTCTCTAAAGGGGCTGGAGGAAAATAGCTTGCTCTTCTAACTGAGAGGGAGGGCTGGGAACGCCTGGTCGGGTCTCACCCTGACAATCCCTCTCCCTGTTAAGAAGTAGGACAGTGAGTCAGTTCATTCAAGTGGATGCTGTTTATTCAAAGGGACATTCTTCCTGTAAAACTCCTAATAAAATCAAAGCCTCGCCTGCGCAGTGGGGAAGGGGAAAGTGTTTTGTGCACAGACTGTTTATTTACAGACACTTTCTCAGAAAAAAAAAGGTGAGAAGAAGAAAGGAAAAAAGGAAAAACAAAGTAAGGTGCAGAGCCATAAACACTTTTGGGAGTAAAACGGGGCTGGTTTGGTCTAGCTGTTCACCTTTTCCGTCACATATCCCTCTCCTAAGCTGTTATAATAAACCTTGCCTGGTAAAAACAGAAGCGGTTTGCTAGAGCTTTCGAAGTGATTACTTTGCTCTGGTTGATTGCAGAGTACAAACGGGTGCCTGCAGCTTTTATTCCTGATGAGAACTACAGATGCTGGCCATCTTACCATCATAAGGGCTGCCTCCTCTCCGTATTTGATGTCAACGAAGCCATTGAGATCTGTGACAGCTACTCCCAGTGCAAAGCTTTTGTCTTAACTAACCAGACGACTTGGACAGGTAGGTCACGGACGCTGCTCAACAGAAAGAGCAGCTGAGTTGTATATCCTGGCTGCTTTAAATGAGGCAGCATTTTAAAATGTTTTGAGGAACATGCTGTGCTCGTCCATGGCAGCTGCCATCAGCAGCCAGAAATGGGACAGTTTCTGAAGCTTCAGCTTCAGCAGAGCTTGGCTTCTTGGTGGGCTTTTCTTTGCCTTGTTGGGGAAGCAGGAGCCTGTGGCTGAACTCCAAGGAGCGGGCACCGAGGGCTGCTGCGCATGGAACATAGGTTTCCCCAACTTGGGGATCCAAAACTTCATTTTAAAATACAGCAGCAGAAACAACAACAAAAGTCCGTGACTTGTTTCTGCAGTTAAATATGCAGGACATGGCCCAACATCTGGATTTAAATAAATCTTTCCAATCCATATGGTGGTTGCGGTTTGACACAAAACCAAACAGGTTCTCCCGTGCATCCAGCCATCTGGGACTTTCCGAGTGATGTAGGCGATATCCTTCTTCTGATGGGAATGATGTGTTTTTCTCAGTATGGGTTTGGCTGAAGGACAGCAAGGAGGGAGTGTTTAAAACTAGGGTGACATGGAAGTGCCTAGCACTCTGTATGATGGGTACAAAGAACTTGGTAGGGGAAAATCCCATTTGCCGCCACAACTCATTTTCTTGTCTTGTGTAACAGAATATAGCTTGCTTGAAAAGATAAATACATTTGCCAATAGTTTTGTGGGCCTGGTAGTCGCACTGTGGTCCCACTGAAGTCAGTCAGGCAATGCCGATTTAGATTAGTACAGAACTGGCTCTGGCTCACTACTTCTGAACTAAACTTAGGCTTATTTCAAGGAACTCCACAGTAATCTGAGAAACAAAAATATTGCAAATGTCCGCTAAGAATCCCCCAGTAGCCGCATCTCCAGGATGGCTTAGTGGTTTAGGAGGGCTGACCTCCACGCAGATGAGCAGGGGGCTCCTAACCCACAGCCCTTCCCGCTGCCTGGCAGAGCTGCGTCTCCCTTCAGCCAGCGCCGGCCAGACCCACCTGTAATGTCCCTGTGAGGTGACTGCACCTTGTGAAGTGTAATGAAGAAAGACAGATTTGTGGGTAGAAGGTACACTGATCCGAATCCACGTTCCTTCATAATCCTCCCACAAGATAAAACTCCCACTGAAGCCAGTTTTTCTTCTCTGATGACTGGTTGTGGACTTTCAAATGTGTGCTGTGGCCTTTAGCATCCGGTGAGTGCTGTGTGTCGTCGTCACGCAGGCAGAGCTGATTTCCTGCCCAGGATGGCCATTGCTAAGGCCGGGTCAGCTCCCTTGCTCCTGCCTTTGAGAGGAATGATGACTGATGCTAGCTAAACCTTGGGAAAGCTGATTTAAGTCCTTATTCTGCCACGCACTTCTTGTGTGGCATGTAACTTAGGCTCTAAGACTCATCTTTCTGTCTGTAAAACTGAGACCTTAGCATATCTTAACCTTAAAGTCAAAATGTATCCTGTGTGCAGTTGGATGCTTTAATTGTGCTTAGGTGGGCAACATAAATATACACCAAGCCAGGCTTATATAAATATGTGTCTGTTTCTCAGTGCAGGCCCCCGGATCTAAAAGCATTACAAATGAGTAGAAACTTTAGAAATTTCCTATGTATCGGAGTGTTTTAGACAGTATACTGCTATGGCTTTCTGAATTTCATGTGCTTCCCAGAGATGTGAACAGAGACTTCCGTGGAACCCAGAAAAAGCTAATTTATATTAACCTGGCCTATGGTTAACCAGCAACTACTAGCTTATCATGTCCAACTATCTATAGTCATACCGTTGAAGTTAACTAATATAGTAAAAAAAAATCTTTTGGCACAGGGAAATTCGTTGGAAGTTTAGAGCAGGTCCTGTTTCAGATTACAATATTAAAAGCAAATGAGTCAGAGTAGCAATACTGTAAATCTTATTTATCATCAGCTGTACTATGTCATTCCTGATGTATGAGCACTTGAGTCCCTGAAATGTGGAAATTTGGAGTGGAAATTTGGTCAGTAGTCCAGGCATCCAATTTGCCACGTGATACTTTTTAAGGAAGTAGTGCTATTGGAGCCCTCTAGAGAAGCAGGCTGGGAGTAGGTAGCATTTGATTTTTCTGGACTTTAGAGAGCCTGAAGGCAGAGGTTGAACAGCTGTAGCAAACATCTTCTGTGGCCCCTGTGCCGAGGAGCTCGATCACACTCAGAGAGGTGCTTGTCTAGGTGGAAGTGGGGGTGTGAATGAGGTGTTAGTCCAGTAGGCATGGGGAGACTCGAGACCCATGCTGCGGGTCCCACAAATACCAGCGAGTGAAACCTCATTATCTTCGGCCTCACCGGACTTGGATATATATGGGGCAGGTGACTTACACTGCCCAGGGTGTTTGTATCTTGCTAGAGTTTTGTTGTATGACCAGTCAAGCCCTGCTATAGCTGGTTTAAAATCCAGAGCTACGAAATGATCAGCAAGAGGTAGTTCAGGGAAAGTCCTGTTTAACACCCATTGCACGGATCAGTTTTGTAAAGATCCAAGCAAAGACGCTGCTGCTTCTGTAAAATCAAACGAGTGCCCTTCATTTAAGCCCTGGACCAAAGCTCATTTATATCTGTGGGGGACTCTTTAAATACATTTTTAAAGATCATATGAAATTTGTATTAAAATCTTCAGATCTTTCCTTCATTTATATTGAGCTAGCTATATGCAGCCATATCTTGATCATAATTATGTGAGAGTAAACATACTGAAACTAAGGGACATTCAGTGTAATTTTAAATGAAAGCATTTCAGTTTTACACCAGTTGAAGATAAGAAAGAGTTTAGTCTTGGGTTACCTAAATAATATGAAATGTCACTGTTTCAAAATAGGCAAGGGGCTCATCACTTCTAATTACAGGGTTTTTTTTTCTCTTTTTTCCTCCCTTTCCTGTTCTATTCAGGTCGGCAGCTTGTCTTCTTCAAGATGGCCTCAAATCATATCATGCCTGATCCTGACAAGATAACATATGTGAAAGTGACAGGCTGACAGCTAAAGTGGCTCAGTTTGACTTGTGAGTGACAAGAGCTGTTTGTGTATAAATATAGGCAGCTGTTACGTTTAAGACGGCTGTGGCCGGAGAGATAATTGCACTATTACTCATTCTAATCTATAGAGTGCTAAACAAAACTTTAAAGAAATAACCTGCATGACCAGGATGAATGTGCAATAAAACAACATTTTGAAAATGTGATTTTTAAAACAAAGCAAAATACAAAATATGATACACTGTTAGGGTATAATTTTGGTTATAAATCAGCTGGCAGCTCTAGCTTTTCTAACTGAGGTTAGCATAATTTTTCTAACCTGCGCATATTTGCACAGGGATGAAAGTTGATCATTTCTGTGGGAAGTCTGCATCCTCTGCATTGATATTTATTTGGGCAAATACAATCACAACAGAGTTACTGAAGCATATCAGTTTGTAAGTTAAATATCAAACGTTACTGAAGACAATCAGCATTTGTGTTAAAGCTATCAAATATGCAAGACCAACTTATTTGTCAGAATGAAAGATTACTTCATCAGTGAATTGGTTGTGTTTAGAATTGCAAGACTGTAGCTAATTTTCATTTTTGCTTCAAATATTACCATAAAGTTTCATTTTTAATTTAAAGGAGTCATGTTGTAGGTCTAGCAAATCACATAAGCATATGAATAGTCCCACTGAAAGGGCAGGGACTTACCCAAGTGCTGAGTGCTTTGCTGAAATAGGCCTAAGCATATGCTTACAATTAAGCCTGTGCTTAAGACTTTTGTTGAATCAAGTTTGAATTGTTCACTAAGCCACATCTTTGACAGACTGGCAAAGCAATCCGTCTGGTGGAACAGTACTATTTTAATGAATATCTTACAATTATTCATATTTTTTATCATCAAATCCTTGGTTTTCTAAGGCACTGCTTGCTAATTCTTAGAGTGAATGAAGTAAATGACCTTAATAATGGCAAATGAACGCTAGCCTTAATTCTATATAAAATGCATTTTATAGGCATGGTGTGTCTAGAGTATTTGCTTTCAGTGAAAGCAATAAAGTAAATGCTAAAGTGACCAATGTCATACTGTTTTGTAGTTTGTACAGTCAGGAAAAAATGTACTTTTGTTTCTTAAATTGTTTATTTTTGTAAAAAAAAAATAAATAAAAGATAAATACAGTTTCTTTCATACATGTTTTTTCTGTGTTGCAAATAAATGCCTAGATCCTGTGAAGACTTGGACATAATGTGTTGTAAGTAAAATTAAGCAGGGGTATTTTTCCAGGAAGAAACTTAAGTTGTTCCAGTGACTTCTACTGACGGGTGTATTTCTGGAGGCAAACATTGGCCTTGTCTACATGTTTGCCTGTAGCGAAGCAAGTGACCATTAGAAGAAAATGCTTTAGCAGCCTTTCTTTCTTTGTGGTTTGAGTCATGTCGCTGCCAATCTTTTAGCCTTTGGAACGGGTGAGGATTAGAAGAGAATCTAAAGTAATTGCTCGTAGGGCTAAATGGTGGCCTGACAGTGACACAGTTGGCAACAGCTCCTGTCTCACCGCAGTTCCTCTCAGGTCACTGATACTGTAAGAAAACTTCTAGCAATTCACTGACATGACATGCTGTAATGGCTATAACTCACAAATTATCAAACTAGCAGCCATAATAGCTCAGCTGATTGTATCACTGTGCACTTAGGAATCCATCAATCACTCTGTGGTAATAAACAAACACTAAAGATTCTTTTAAAAAGGCTACATAAATCATGCCAACACATACTGCACAGATCATTGCAGTGATACGGTTTGTTGGCACCGAGGTGCTGGTATGTATTTTGAAAGTCTTTAACCTCCCTAGTGTGCCTTCGCATTAAGTGCTACACACCATTCCAGAAATACTCACCGTTTAAAAACAGTGTGAATACTTAAATTCTTTAGTCACATTCCTAGATAAAAATTATCAACAGTTAAAAGAAAAAAGAGATCCAGAATAATTCGTTAATATTTTAGGCAGGTAACTTAGGATGATTTCATTCCGTCATTCTCTGTGCACCTGAAAGAAAGAGCTCTGAAATCAGAAAATGTTTACCTCTGGCATTAAACAAACTTGCCAAACCAATTTACATCCGCTTTTGCAAACAGAAAGCAAATAAGCAAGAAAGAAAGAAAGAGAACTGTGAGTCAAGAAACTGGATTCTAGATTTCAGCAGCAATCAGCTTTATCCAGGCAGTTTTATAACTCTTTGAGAGTAAGGCTTTCCTGTGGAATTGCTGATTAAAATCTTAATAAGAGAGGCGCAATACTGCAATATGTTAGTGTAATAGCTGTAGTAAGCACTGAATTTATCGAGGGAAAGTGTCTTTGGCAGCTGGGGGTCTGATTCAGCAAGCTGCCCTGCTGGCGCTCGTGGCGTGGACGCTCCTGAGAAACCACAGTGGAGGAGGACGCACGAAGTGAGCTGGCGGGTCTGGGCCAGGCAGCCTGGGAGCTGCACCGCGTTTTCTGTGCAAAAAGGCAGTTCTGTCCCCCCCACCAGCGTTTTGACTGCTTTTTACATTTCCTGGCTTCCTCAAGCCACAAGGTAGAAATATGAAAGAAGACACCCACAAGGCTTGAAATGACTGATGTCTGCGAGCATGCATGCATGTGTATGTGTGTACTTATTTATGTATGGGTCATGCTGAACAGAGAGCTATTATTTACTCAGTGAAAAACCAATTGACTGTGTACAAAATGAAGTGCTAACCAGGATGTTGAATCTGGAGAAGGGAGAACTCAATGAAGCAGTGGGTGCTGCTGCTCTCAGAGGGGCTTTGCCAAGTGCTCGCTCCTGGCTGTCATTGTGGAGCGGAAATCTGGCAACCCCCCAAACTGGCTGCAGGTCAGAGGACCTCGCAGAGCTGCCCACGGCCTCCGTGCTGGTTTGGTGAAGAGATGACACTATCCCCATCACTGGGAACAGACTTCAGGCAAAGATGTGCTCAGCAACCGACTGCCTTGCACCCCACCACTTACCTCTGGCCGGACCCTGGAAGGGACCTAACGGAGACATTGGCAGCCTGGGCTGGACGGGAACAGCTCTCCAGCAAGACCCTGCAAAGAGACTTCCCCAACGGGAAGAGACTGGAGGGAGCCATTTCAGAGAAAAGCATATTGCCTTCTTCCAGTGGCTAGGCCCTTTCTTTCTCCCAGAAAATGAAACTTGCCTACGGTGTGATGCTTAGACCAAAATAAAAATGTGTTCTTCCATTTTTCTGTATGATATCTGAGCCTACAGTTTTCTCTCTGGTCATTTTGCCGAGCTTTTCTCCCTACCTCTGAAAAATGCTTCTTTTTAAGTGGAAAGCTGAAGTCTCAGGCAGTCCGCTCTAGAAACTGAAGTTATTGCATCATATCTCATCTATGAGAAATCTCATCTGTGGTGAGATTTATGGTATGACCATGAGCATTTATGACCCTGAAAGAAAGCCTGACAATTAGTGGGCCCTGTTGTCAGCTGAGGAGCTTTGATAAATTTGTTTAGACAGTGAAGGGGGTTTGATGTGCAGTGAGACGTTTGTCAAGAATCACAAAGAGATGTTCTTCCACCACAATTTAGTACTGAAGAGTTTAGAACTAAGGGTAGGTACTACTATTTCTAATTTACTTTATTCTGCCTTACCAAAGCATTTTGCTTAGTATTTCTCTCAGCCTTCACCACCAAATTTCCTATGGACTTTGTGAGAACAGTCTCCTGGGAAGGCGGAGAGTGGGGTGCAGGGAGGACAGCTCCTCACACTGAAGGCAGGTCTTCCTCTGAATAGTATCCATACGTGGTGTGGTAACTGCTATGGATCACTGCCATGGCGCAGGAGCTGCTCATGGTAGGTCCATTATAAATGCACCATCAAGAGCTTGCTCCTGCCTCTGAAAGCCTGCGCTCTCCATCCACGTATGAAACAGTTTGTATCATGTATTAGGATAAGTCTGGGCAACCAGCTGAGCAAAGAAGGGGTAGAAGTAGTAGCAAAATGCTAACCAATCAGTCACAGACAAGCATCTGAAAAGAAGCAGTTACCATGCGGGCTAACTGCTATGCCTATGGAGAGCCGAGCCTCAGCAGCTCGGCTCAGAGCTGTCCTGCTTGCCCGCTCTCCCACACCTCGCTGTAAGAAACACCTGGGGATAAGCTGGAGGCAGACATTACAAAGAGACAAAATATTATTCCACCTTTCCCACTATTATTCTAGTTATTCCACTTCTACCGGTAGATGTGGTGTGCTGATCTTACTAATGTTTATAAGGCCCCCCCACCTCTTCATGCGCTGTTACGTATGAGTCCAAAAAAGTTAGACACTGTTGTTAACAATTTAGATTAAGCAAATGATTTAGAGGAATTGTCATTTAAAGCATATGGAAGGTGATGGTGAACATCCAGAGATCATGTTATGTTGCCTATCACAAAGAAATATATGAATACAGGAATATTCAGACTTTCGTACAGAGAGCCCTGTCTCGTATTCTATAATAATAATAAATAAATTGGAAAAAAAAAAAGCAGTGATGGAAACGTTTACAAGCTTTTTCTAGGAAAACACATCCACAACGTTTTGGTCAAAATGTTCACATTTTGAAACACTCTTGAAAGAAGTTAAACAGACTCAACTGAAATTTTTAAGCAATCAGAATCAAAAAGAAGAAAATGAGGCTCAAGGAAGGAGAGAAAGATTTGTGACAAGAAGGCAGTGTATACAAAAACTTTAAAATCATAGTCTAGTTAATGTTTTGAGACATGAGCGTTTGAACCTTTTTTTTTTTTAAGAAAACATTTTGAGTTTTAAAACACGAGTTTTAAGCAGGAGTGAGATACATCATACTGACTGCCTCATAGAGCGCCCAGGGCACATAGGGTCTATATCCTTCAGCACAGATGTGGATCTCAGCATTTTAACTCTAATAGGTAAGTTATTTGCAACTACAGGTAATTTTTTTCCAGTTAACATGGAGGCTTTTAAGAGCTGCATGTTAAAAATGGGAAGGAAACAAAACATCATATTGCTTCCCTTTGTAGTTGCATATGGTCAGCAATTGCCTTTATTTAATAGGTGCATCACTTCCTGATGCAAACTGAAGCGAAAAATAATTCAATAGAAGCCATCCTCATGAAACTGTCTTTGATGTCAAGCTAGAGGGCAAACAATACATTTATTAGAAAGTGTGGCTTGTAAACAAAGAACCTGGGTAGCCATAGTTTTTCGGCAAATGACTATGAGGCTGAGAACAAAGGCTAAGCTATCTGGTGACTATCTGAAATGATAGACCCTGAATCTGATCTTACTTAGCTTGACTTTACCAGTGTAATTTGGTTAATCCTTGATTTTTGTTGCCAAAACACTGAATCAGACTGTTAGATTTTAAAATAGCTGTGGAGTAGGCCTAAGCCAAACCTGCCTTTTGAATATAAATATTTTGACCATATAAACACTATTTTTTCCATATATGTGTGTGTGTATGTGAGCACATGTGTGGGTTCCTGTGAGAGCTGAGCAGTGAAGACATGAAGAATTACATTACCTTTAAGAATGAAGCTTTTGCAAGGCAAAGCAAATAATACTATTTAATAAATAATCTCAGCTAATAAATGAAGAGTTGCACACATTTCCACTGATTGCCAACAGGTATAATGTCATTGTTATTTATTGTTCTGCTGAGTTCACTATGTACTATACACTAATAAGAATTTCCGGTTTTCAATATTTAAAAGTACCTAGCAAATATGAAGATAATGGCACAAGTTGGTGTTGACAAATTGCAGCTTTCTAGACACATACTAGAAGGAATGTGGAGCAGCCACAAATAGATGACCAGGGACAGTGGCAGTTTTAGACGTGGGTATACTTAACGTTTTATACAAGATGTTGGTTTTGTGAGAGTTCATGACCCATTAACACTGTACATGAGTAATTATTAAGTCTCATCTCAATCCTGAACACAAGCTATTAATCATGCAAATGCAACTATTTCTATATATTTTACCATCCTGGGCTTTAGTACCAAGAGTGGCACACCTAAAGCCTATTTGAAAAATGAAAACACTTTGATTAAATATCAGGTTTCCATCTGTGCATGGCTCTGATTTCTGATTCAGGATGCAATTTAGAGTAGCAGACTGCTCTTAAACAGAGAGCATGTTACAGAAGCAA